GAGAGAAAGAGAGATATTTTCAATTAACAAAATAAATATATTAGAAACTTACATTATTACATTATTACATTATTACAAACTATACCAAATTATCAAATTTAGACCGATATAAAAATAGCCGTAAATAATTAGATTGGATGAACGAAGCATGTGACTAGTCAAATGCAAACGTACTTAACAAATATTCAAACTTTATTTTTTTTTTTAAATAGCTTTAAGCGAAAATATTTTATTCTATATTTTCGACTTTTATATGAGGAATAATTTCCTTCTTGGTTGTATCGTCACGACTTCCAGAGCACCCTGTATGCAACTCTTTAGTAAAATTAAATTATTTCATGAAAATATTTAAAATTTTCTTAGGGATTTAGTCAGTAAATTGGAAATGGATCTTCAAACGGCCGAGACTGGCACTCAGAAGAACGAATGCAATAAATTGAAAGAAGAGATCGAACAACTGAGAGGCGAGCTTGAACACCGCATGTTAAAGGGTGATTTTAACTGCAACGCCCGAATTCTACATTTCACGATGAATCCCGCATCGATGGCGGAGAAGCAAGCACAGGAAAAACAAGCGGCTCTGTTACGAGAAGTGGAAGAACTTCGTGCTAAAGTGGCGTCGGGAAATTATGGCACAACTGTTTCATCGTTACAGACGCAAGGTAGATAAACTTAATTAAAGCATAATAAAGCATATTTTTATTTTTCATTATACGAAGTAATACATTTTTATTTTTTTTTAATACAGAAATCGCGGAGTTGAAGCAAACGCATGAAATAAAGATAGCGCGTTTGAAGGAAGCTTTCAAAGCATCCTCACAAGAGTACCGCCAAGCGTGCTATCAGTTATTCGGTTGGAGAGTGGACCGAACAAAGGAAGGTTGCTACAAGCTGTCGAGTCAATATGCAGAGTCGCCAGATGATTTCCTGTTTTTCCACGTAGGTGAAGAGGGTGTAGATATGTTGGAAACTGCTTTTTCTGCGAATTTAGGCAGTTTGATTGAACAATATTTGCAAAAACAGCGTAGTGTTCCTATGTTTCTTAATGCTGTACAATCTGATCTGTTTAGCCAGCAAACAGTGACAAATGTCATAATATAATATTGTTTCATGTTTATAAATAAAACTAATATTACTATTTATTAAGCTTTAGTAGGCTTCATATACAATAGATAATAAATATATACAGTAAATAATAAATTTCTATAATTCTATCTATACAAAAGCTGCATTTATTCATACATTTAATTTATTACGTTTTTATTTCAAATTAATTACTTCATAAATGATATAACAATAATTTTCACAATCGTTAATTTATTATTTCATGAATCTATTCTATCTTATGTTGATAATATATCTTTCCTATCTTCAGTTGCTACGAGAAATAATCTGTCATAATAGTTTCGAATAGGTTCTTTCATCTGAAATTTCTACTTAATTAATTATAAAGATTAATAAGAAAATATATGATAAAATCAATTAAATATTATGTTATAATTTGCAACAGAATGTTAATATACGTATATAAAATATTTATATCTCTCGGATGTAATAAACGTCTCTCTTCTGTGGAATAATCTACATACACATTCCATAAAATTATAAAAATATTTAAGATAAAATTTGAAACTTTATACAAAATTAACAACAATTTATATTGTTAACTAATTTTTTAAAATTGATAGAAATGCATCAGCAGATATTGAAATGAAAATGTTTCTTTCTATCTTATGTAGAATAAAAAATCAGATCTCTAAATGAAGTTATCAAATGGAGTTGTTAAAACTCAATTATATGAAATTTTTGTTGGCTACTACTAAATATGTTTTTATATCGTCAATTTTTATTATATGATTTGTTATTTCTCCATGATTCTTTGGTAAAAGCACACATCGAGAAGACTCACTGAACTCTTATCACGCATAAAAATCTTACGAGAGGATGTCGAAATTGAAAATCGCGTCGGGCCATCGGCGATCGTCTCGCGGGAGACGTTACCGTCTCAGACTCAGGCTCTACGTGCCTAGAAAAGGGAGGCCTGTCCCAGAAGAACGATTCCCATTGCTTTGTTCGGCGAAGAAACTGTGATGGTGTTCATTAGTGAATGAGCCAGTATATGGATTCGTCTATTATATGTGAACAAATGTACCCTCACACATTTCTAAAAAGTAGCGTTTGTTTATATGTAAATGTGTATGTGTAAATGTGTGTGCGTGCGCACGCGCGCGCGTGTGTGTGTATCTGGTTGACCAAAAGCATTTCGTGGTAACGAAAAGGAAGAGAGATAGATAGCCAGAGAAAGATAAATAGAGAGAGAGAGAGAGAGAGAGAGAGAGAGAGAGGAGGGGAGGGAGAAGAACGGTCGTCTGTATTGGAGCTGACGACGAGAACTTGATATAACGGTGCCAGCTGCGAAGGGACTCGAGTCAACGGGAACTCCCGAGCTGAAACTCCATTATCCTTAATTATAATCGCGTTTAATCGCAAACTCATCCTGCGCTCTCCCTCGCATACGTGCCGCCCTCGTACCTCGCAGACCCATCTTCATCCTTGTCTATGGTCTCGTCTACGTTCTCGTCTACGTGCATCTCGCTTCATGCCACCAGCCGCAGCCGCTGCTGATTATCAATCCAGAATCAACGCAAGGGTGTTTCTCCACAATGGGGATGAAGCAATGGGCGGGTTTATCGAAGAAGAAGATTATCTGTTAACATCATTGAGAGAGACAGAGAGAAAGAGAGAGAGAGAGAGGGGGGGAGGGAGGGAGAGAGAGAGAGAAAGGGAAGAAGAGAGAGAGAGAGGGGGGGGAGGGAGGGAGAGAGAGAGAGAGAAAGGGAAGAAGAGAGAGAGAGTGAGAGAGGGAGGGAGGGAGAGAGGGAGAGAGAGAAGCTTGCAGTCGTTCTTTCCCGGATCGACGCATTACAAAGCGCATCGGATGTATTGACGGTGATGGTTTAAGTGCCCTGAGGGTGCCACCGGGAAATATCGACATTGGACCGGGGGCCACGTGAAGGTGTATGATTAATGCCGCGGAGCCGCAACACATGCCGCAGAGATATCGCATACGGAAATTGATTCTAATGAGGCCTCACGCGAGAGAACTGCATCTATCGACGATCGGTGATCGTTTCCATCGGTGTGAAATGCGCTTGTCCCGCTTTGATCTCGCCTGGGGCTAACTTTGATCAGACATTATTTACACGAGAGCGCCGGCATATAGAGCGTCGCGGTTTCGGGTTGCTCTCTCCGAAAGCGTGTGGCGGCTTTCCGAATGGAACGTCTATTTCTTCTGAGTAGATGAGACGAGCTCAACCGATCCCACCGAGATCAAAGCGATCTTTTCGGTATTGAGCACGAGAATATCTTCTAGCTTCCGCTTAAGCGCACGTCAAAAGCTGCAAGGATTATACAACTGCAAATGTAAAACGAGATGATTGTAGAAACTTATCTAGTAAAATTTCGATTATAAAACGTATTTTTACAAAATATCTTAATTCGTCGCATTTTTCTGTTATCAAGTTAAATCTCCGATCTATTGGATCCATTTAGTTATATTACATTTGCAAATTTGAGTTATTGTTATTAACTCTTTAAGGATCGGAGCTTTCTCAACAAAGTAACTCATAGAAGGTCTCGTTTTCTAAGGATTTTTAAGATTGTTGAATTTGATTCTAGCCTCAGACTTCTAAAATTCAAATTTCAGATAATATTAGGTTGAGTAAAAAGTCATCGCGTATTTTTTAGCTCAAAGTTGTATATACAATATCTTCGTCAATAATGAATGAAATTCAAATTTAAAAAAAGGGTTTTAAAGCTTGAAATCTCTACTTTTAAAAGCTTATCACATTTTTTAAGTTTATATGAGTTTGATAATTTTTACATACCAAAAACTACGAGCTGAAAAAGACGAAAAATTTTCTTCTCACTTTGTGGATTTGTAACGTGTCCAAAACGAATTTGAGAAAATTTTCGATTACCTATCGTGAAAGCTTGATACTTTCCCTACAAAATCGTTTTTTTTTAATATTCCTACGACTTTTGATTACTGAGTTATCGCGGATTAAATAAAAGAATTATTTTGACTTTAATTGCTCATAACTCCATTAAAAATTGTCGTATCGTATAATTTAAAAAAGAGATTTTTAAAGCTGAAACTTTACTCTATCAAGATATATTTATATTGTTGGTAAGAAAGTAATTGCGGTTTTTACTGATAGATGTCTTTTAAAAAAACGCGATGACTTTTTACTTAATCTAATATAATCGACCGGATTATCATAAAATTTGGTTTTAAGTTATTAGTACTGTGCGTGCGTGCGTATGAGTTTGAATGTATAATAATTATATTCTTCACATTGCAAATTTGAATTATTATTATTAATCTTTTGAAGACCGAAGCTTTTTAACAAAGTAACTTAATTATAGAAGATCTCGTTTTCTAAGGGATTTTGATCTGAATTCGATTCTGACTTCAGACTTTTAAAATTTAAATTTCAAAACAATAATCTAATTATCGTGAAATTTTAGAAAATAATTCTTTCGCTGAATTCGAATATAACCTGAAAATGATAAATTTTTAAACAGAATAGTAATCTTCAATGAAGGAGCATCTAGTATCACAGGGTTTGTAATCAAAGTTTGGAAAGTCAGTTTGGAAATCGGTAAACTAACTGTTTATGTTGTACTGATGAGCTTTAAATGAAGCGAAACTGGAAACTTGATGTTACTTCGCAATTTAAAATTCTCTAAAATCAAACTTTATGATAATCAAATTGGCTGCGTTCAGCAGAAGAAGCAGCTTTACAAGTGTTGTAAAATTCTTTAATATGATTTGTCTCGTCTTTATAGTTCTCCAACTAAATTTAAATATATAAATTATTTTTTTAAATTTCGTCCGCTATATTGAAGCTACCATTTTGAATTTTTTTATTTTTGTCCTCAGATTCGATAAAGCTACATCAAGGCTACTTTTCGTTATTTACTGCGAGTACTGATAAACTATAATTCACGTTATGTATACAGATTTTTAATACTTGCAGTAAATAACGCAACTCAAATTATCTCATATAGATCAAACATAAACACCGAACGAGCAGTTTACAAAACAAAAAGGGATGATCTCAAATGTCCACAAAAAAGATTAAAATAAATTTATAATTAGTGTTTATTGTTTTTCATATTTATGCTATTTTATACTTTTTGAAATTAAGTAATGCTTTTTAGTTAATGTAAATTAAATTAATCTCCCAGACACAGCATCTGTAAGTAACTGTGTTACAGATTTTGAAGATCTAGCTTCAGAGGGTTAACAAAGAGATTATTTTGTCGCCAGCCTTCAGCACATCAAGAGATCATCAAGAGAATTCACACTGGCCAAAATTATTATATCGGTTTCAACACAATCTTTGATCACTTAAGAAGAATTGATTTTACGTGAATTTCATTTACTCTCAAGTCGATCCCCCGAGCCGCATAGATTTTGCCCTGCGGGCTCAGCAAAGATATATCTACCGTGATCTCACGAAATCAAGTTTCGCACGATGCTCTCTCGATCTCGCGCGTGTCGCTTTAGTGGATCCTCGAGATCGTTCTTCGACCGCGCAAAAAGCCTACGATATACATAGGTACCGCGTACGAGGATCCGTCATCGTGGTGAAGACACCGCAGAGAAAGATAATCAATCGGGATGTAGAGGTAAACCGGTATCTTATCAAAGTTGGCCCATCTTCGTGAAACTTGCTCGTGTCTCCGTCTCCCAGGGTGGCCGAGGGAGGGACGTGAGAGCGAGAGAGCACTCTCTGAGGATGGGGCAGATCGTGTGTGTAACGTGTACGGGATGCGGGGGATGAAGAGAAACAGAAGGCGAAAGGAGAGAGTCGCAGGAGCGGAAGAAGGAAATACCGGTAGACTCCGTGCTAACTTTCGCGTCGGTGTGCCAGAGGCACTGCCAGAAGGAACTTTGTCGATCAGAGTTGCGAAGGAGATTCTCCAGCTATATCGGCAGTGTCACCTCCGTAGATACCTCGTGAGGAACAGTCGTGGACCTTGTGGCGAAAGGGTTGAATACATCGGTGCAGCGGTAGAATAATGCAAGGGGTTGCCTCCCGCCGCCGCGCCGGAGGTACGTTTCGCGTTCTTCCACGGAATCATTTTCGGACGATTCGATTTGCTTCTACTGATACGGCACGATTAATCTCTTAATATTACTAAAAGTAGCAATTGCTATCAAACTTCGCTAATTTGAGTTTACAATCAATTTCATTTGTGACGATTACTCGTAACTGCAGCAGAAATTTCTCTATAGGAGAATCTAATCCTACCAGCCGTCCTACAAAGTAATAATGTAATTATAAGAGACTTACTTTACATACAATAACATTGTTATTATGAAAAAAATGCGTGAATTAAAAAAAGAAATAAACCCTTTGCGATGGGTATAACTAAATGCAGCGGAAAATCTGTAACTGAGATCGAAGAACTTGGTTGAAAATGAAATCGAAATTAATATGGTAAAAAGTTAAGTTTGATATGCCCTGTATTGTTAAAAATCTCATTAATTTTGACTTTTTATCCCATTGTGGTCCATTTATTTGACTCATACTTTATTTCGGTGAAATTAAAATCCTTTATAGACATGTAACAAAAATAAAATTTGGAAAAGTTAAGCTTTTTTTGCAGACGGATAATTGGATGTACAGACAAATGGACGACCCCAGACTGTGAAATTATGAAGTAGTTCGCTGCGCTACACTTCTTAATAAAGCATGTACGGAAAGAACAGTTTTGCTGAAGTTTTAAAAATTTGGTTAGATATAGATCTAGAAATAATTTTGTTTATATTAAAATAATTATGTGGGACACTCAAAGTTAGAATACATAAAATTTTTTGCAGCATTTACTTATCATGCTTGAATTTTCTACATAATTATTTTGATGGTCCAACAAAATTATTTTCAGAGCTACAACTGTAGCTAAATTTTTTTTAGATATTTCAGTAAAATCGTTCTTTCCGCGTGGAAGTTGGAAAAACAATTTTAATACGTGCAGGAAATGTAAAGGAAATACGACATTTAATTAGTATAAAGATAGATATTCATACATTCAGTATAACTAATCACGCTGTCGTAATTCATCTTTCTGGCATATTTAGGATATACGAGGCTTTTTATGGCGGAATGATATTTTCAACATTGCGCGATGCTGAAGAACTTGGCGAGATGATCGCTTAAGACTCAGCGAGAAAGCTGAGAAGACGTAGGATACGAACGCGAAGTAGGTCAGAGAAGGATAATTATCTATTTCTCGGCTCTATTACACCTAAAGTACCAGCTAAAGAGGAAAAAGCTAGTAAGGAGCACGGCAGGCACGAGGAGGCAGCAAATCACTTTAATTTTCAAAATCGTTATGGCAATAACCCCGGTGAAAACTTTTCAGGTGCACTCGCGCGTGCTTTTAAGCGACAGAAATTGTGCGAAAGATATTTTCGCTTGTGTTATAACGTGTATACACAGGCTTAATAACATTCGCTTTTTTCTTTTTTCTTTTTTTTTTTTTTTCAACGTGCGCTTCATTCTCTTTTCAAGGCCTTTTAATTCATGGAAAAGGAGAGGCATGCGTAACATGCGCAAACGGATATGTTGCTGTAATTTAAATTTTTAATTACAAGTCGCAATTTTGAGAGCCTCGCCATTTCCACATTCCCGTCGCGGGCCGCAAATTTAATTTCGAGGCCTTTGGCGAATCTGAAATTACGATTAATCGCCCGGATTCGCCGGAATAGGGAAACCGCCGCGAGTGACGCGTATGGTAGGAAATTTCACCTCGGTGAATTTTGCTTCATTCGGCCTTTCATCCCCCCGGTTGCGAGCGAGCACACGAGAGCGAGTAACGAAGAAATATTAGCGCTAAGCTAGCGAATGAATACGAATCCGCACTTTAAATCTTGGAGAGGAGGTCGGGCGAACGGACAGGGCGAGGTCAGGGACCGAAATAAAAGGCTGACGCCCCGGCTAGACCAAGCGTGGGATGGTCAGAGGGTTGTAATTATCTGTTTCTCAGCTCCATTACACCTGAAGGACGAGACGGACGCCGCGCCGCCACTGCCGCCGTCGCCGCTATCGTGGCGAGAAAAGCGGAGCGGGCCGGCGCGGGTGGCGAACGTGACGGGAAATAAGAACAGGCCGAGTGGCAGCCGGAAATTACAGAGTCTACAAGCAGCAAGCACTGACAGTGAAACTGACAATATGTACGGAAGACACTAGGGAATAGCCGGGTGGAAAAGAAGTTTCGCTGACTACTCTTGGACGATTGTTCCTCGAATGTCCTCGCGTCGGCGGATGACAATCGATACTTTCTACAAAGGCAAGTCCACTTGGTCCTATCGCAAACGTTTAACTATTAAGCGTGTCCTATCGCGACGTAAAGTCTGATATACCTGGGAAATAACGGGAGAAAAATGGGAATAATAACGCATCAATATGCATCCATCATTCAAATCCAGATAAGCTTGATATTTAGATACTTGATGTTTGTGATCGATAATTGTGTCTTTATAGATATTTGTACATTCCTTATATAAGTCTGTCAATTTAAAATATATATATTAGTCCTACATAATACTAGTCTACATAATATTGGTCTACATAACACTGGCTAATTTAATATTGAAAGACAGTAATTAATTAGATACTTATTTATAGTATTAAATACATTGAACAACAGTGCTTTTAATCTAAAAATGTAATTTGATATATATATATATATATACCTGTATATATATGTATATAAAAAAAACTTGCATTTCTTAATAAGAAAAAGGTAATAGTTAAATTCTTTATAGAAATATAATACTGACCAAAAAAAATTTAATATTGAAAGATGGACAATTTTAAACGAAAAATGTGAAATATAAGAGCATAACATTTGTAAAGGATATTTCTGTTAAAAGCAATTTGTAAAACTTTGTAAATAAAAAATGGAAAATTGTTGCTTTATATTTTAAATAATATTTTCTTCTTTAGCTTTATCATTAAATATTAATGTTATAAAAAAAGATAATTATAAAATATTGTAGAATAAATGTGTGTGTGTGTGTGTGTGTGTGTGTGTGTGTGTGTGTGTAAAGGTAATAATAAAATAGTAATCAAAGTAGTGAAAACAGATCCAAAGATTCTTTATTTTTTTAAATGGACCCTCAAAATGTTAGAGTCTGAAACTTAATTTTTTTACTTATTATATATTCGAAGAAAAACGCGGACCATACTTATACATAATGAACAGTTTGAAAATGAAAAGTTTTTTTATGCTCTGAAAATTTAATTAAAAACTTTTTTGCTTTTATGATAAACCTTTAAAATATACAAAATATATTGTATATAAAAAGTATCTAATATATATTAGATACTTTTATCTTATACTGCTGACATCAGGTAAACGTAAGATGGTAACGATGGGGAACGTATTTCTAGATCGTACAATCGTACTTCGTATCGGACGTGTCCACTCATCATTGCCGCGAGTATGTTACGTTTCTTCGTAACGGCCACTAAGAAACTTCCGCTGCTGGCATCTAACATCCGACAGACAATTTTCTGCGGACAATTCGGCCGCAGCGTTCGTCGTCGTCGTCGTCGTCGTCGTCGTCGTCGTCGTCGTCGTCGCAGATACGGCGAGGATGAGACGCGCGGAAACGATAGTTGGCTCACTGGCAAGCTCCAATCTCCGGATGCCCTCTCGAGCACACCTCTATTAGAAGGGATGGGGGATATCTTCTCCCTTCGCGTCCCGATCGTTTCGCGATCCTTCCGTTCATGAAGGCAAGTCTGCCTCTAACGACATCGCCGTCTTCCTTTTTGCCGGGGAGAGACCGGCGGCTCTTTTCTTAAATGGCGAAAAACGGGTAGGAGGTCCTTTTGATGAATCGGTGCCGAACTGCGTCCGGCATACGTAAACCCCCAGAGGGAATCGCAGGCGATCGGGATGAACGATGCGTTCGTGCGAGGCGATGAAGCGAGAAGAATGGGCAAGATGCAGTGGCGATGATGCGAGACGACGGGGTGGAAACACTTGGAAGGAAAACCCAGGCACTTTTGCCGGTGGATACGTCCAGTATAGGAAATTAACCCTCGTTCCTCGCCGCCGCACGTCTTCCACTTTCTACCTCCGCCAGCTGGAAAAAAGGGGAAAAAACCGGGAGTGAGAAACTGCATCACAGAAGGTGCGTCAGTGCGAGTGACCGCTCGATCTATGATTATTTCTGTAGCTCTGTCATATCAATATATCTTTCTCGGACACATGGAGAGGCTATAATGTTATATTGCATTTAATTTCTGCGGTATTGGTATCCATACACGGAAAGAATAATTTTGATAAAGTATAATACATTGAAGAAAAAGTCAAAATATTCAGAAGCAAATATATTACTTGTGATGTTTTTCTTTAATATTTATTTAATATATATAT